ATCCTGTAGCTCCTTGTCTATCCCAGGGGAAGACCAGCACCACTACACTACGTGCTGGCTTCACTTTCCCTACACATGCAGGTTTCTTAATGGGGACCCTCCGAGGGATTTGTATACATGCCTACAACTGGCATGGAAAGGCTTCCAGGAGCCCCCGAGATTGGAGCTAAACCATATTTGCTCTTCTCCCCTTTACATGGGTTTAGGGACCACACCATCCCTTTTTGTTTCATTCCACTTTTGATGATATATGTCAGGGACACCTCCTCTGCAGCTTTCTCAGCCCATAATGGACTATGAGAAAGAGATCAGGAATTAGTCAATGGAATTGCACCTGCTTACACAAGGTCTGAATTGTAGAAGGCTATTTTGCTTTAATGAAAATGTAATTATTTTTGTAGAGATACTTTATAGTGAGGACAAAGTGTTTAATCCTATTATTTTTGAGTATTAGAAACAATGGTGTTATCTGATCATTAGAATATTTGGTGGCAAATACTCCAGAAGTAGGCATTCCTTGCAATACCAGTCGGATCAAATACTGCAGATAAAGCAGTCTGCCTGGAAAAGGAAAATCCCACAAGGAAAGCAATTGGCTACTTAAGGAGCCAAAGAAATGAGAAACTCCATTATAAAAATGAAAATCTTTTAAGTTGGCAAGGGAACATGGTAATAAAGCCAAGTCACAGTCACATATTATCACATGCAGCGACTTGATGCCCCTCCTGTTTCCTAGCTGGCCAGGTGGTTGTCGTGCCTGAAGAAACCCCAGAAAACAGGAAACAGTGGAAACAAGAAGCACCTGGGACACTGCTGAGTATCTTAGCAAAAGCAGAACTGTCTAATGACTCCTTCTGCTGGATTGAAGAGGAATCTGGTAGGATATTTGTTACTGCAAATTATAGGATGAGTCCTCTGAAGAATTTTACTAAATATTTTGATAATGAAAATGGAAATGAGATCTCAAGAGTGGAGAGATACATAAGATGTCCAACATCTCCAGAGGGAGTTTTTCTTTGATTACAATGTTCTTATTGTAGCTAGCAGAGGATTTGTGAAACAAAAATATTTTAATCACTTGGCAAACTATTAAGACTGAAGAGAAGGGTTCAGTCATTTAGTAGATGGTTAGTATTTTAGAGCTAGGGGGATCCAGATGGTATTATAACTGCCACTGAATTTTTGCAACTTACTAACTTCACAAAGCCAGCACATTTTTTCTATCCAGCATTATTTTGATATATTTATCAGTTTCACTTTGTCAGGGGACAAGAACTGGAATAGAATGGGAATTCAGCCGCTATTACTTTAGAGAAAGCTATCTCTGGCAATAAACATTTTTTCAAAACACTTTCCCAAGACATAAGAAAATCTTCCATACATTACTAGCTGCACTCTGTTTTTGGATACATCAACATAAATTGCTATAGATCTTTTACAAGTTATAGCATATGATGGCATAAACACAATAACTGACTTTACATGATCGAACATGGTACAATTCCACATATAAGACAATCAACATTGAGCCCTAATCAGTTAGGTTGCAGCATATTGTTAGGGTGATGGTTTTTAAAAAGAAAAAAACAAACACAAAGTTACAGTGCATGTTGCCAAAAAGTAAGTGTAAAACAATTTTCATAACGTAATTAGTGCAACTGGAAATGAGTATGTTTTGCATGCTCCAATGCCAATTAACTGAACAGGCCTTTAAAACCAGTTCAATTGCATGTGTCAAACACCAGTATGTTAAATGGATTACAGGGGAAATTCTTTCATTTGAAGTTGCACAATCAATACTCCCTAGCTAACTAACATGCATGTCAGGCTATTTTAAAAACTACCCAATCCTGACAATATTATTCTCTCCCCATAGATATACTTCTTTTAAGAAATTTGAACCAGGCTAAAACCTCACTACCCATATTCAACAAGCTATAGAGTGAGTGCTATAATAGGATCACTAACTTTTAGCTGATTTATCTTTTAGCGATTAAGTCTAATAAACCAGACTTAAGACCCAATTCTGCCACGTTTGCTCACATTAAATACCTTGCTACCCAACTAGTCACATTCATTCCAGTTGGATTATTTGCAGAATAAGGCCCTTACGCAATACCAGAGCAACTTTTAAAATTCAGTCTTCTCTGAACTTTCAGATCTGCATTGCCCTCCCACCCCCTAGGTTTTGTGTTGGAAAGTAAACATGATTAGGGAGCTATAACTATCTAAATATTTCTATGAACAGCAACAATGGCAATCAGTGAAGTCTGGTGTTTGCATTGTTGTGATTTGAACAAAATCCTTTCCAAGAATTTCTGTAGTGGTTTTAGATATTTTATGTACACTTATCAGGTATTTTCCCCCCCCACACTCTCCAGAGGGGACATTATCACCCTGGCCGCCAAAAGAGAATAAAGAAGATAATGCAGAAACAAGCTCCACTATCGATACCGATGAAAACAGACTTGAGCCAAGATCTGATGATGATGACACGTAAGTCATTGTTGTGGATAAGGTAACTTAAGTCAAGTTACTCCAGACGAGGAAAAAGCTATGAATGGACAGATTCCTTCCTAGGAAAATTGGCCCAGCAGGCTAAGTTGCTTAAAAAAAAAAAATCCTCTCTGTCCCTTTAGACTTTTCACAGTGTAATTAAACAGAGAAAGTTATTAGCAGCCAAATTGGATTTTAGATCTTCTTAAACTACAGAATTAGGTCAACTTAAATTAGTTCATGAAGATGCCAATACTAATGCTTTCTACACCATAAGTATAGAAAAATGCAGATACAACAACGATAACATTGGCTGTCTCTGCATCACTTACATTGTAGTTTTAGTGGAGCTTACCAGGATGGAGGAATGGGGGCAGGAAAATATTTAAATTTCATACCCAGCTTTTATACTCCTCACAAAACAATTTTTTTTAAATGGAGACCTTATGAGCTTTGAGACCAGCACAGCTAATAATGGTGACACATTTTATTAACATCCATTTTCTCTGTTTAAACATGTAGGAACTTTGAAGAATCTGAAGATGAATTGAGGGATGAGCTGGTGGAATCACTAGAAAAAGTGATAACTTCTCTGGCAGAGGAAGTCCAAGAGGTGCCAATCCAGTCAGCAAACAAAGACAAACCAGAAGAAGAGAGAGAAAGCTTAGCTAGCGAAATACCTGGGAGACCTGATGAGGTTTTAGACAATAACGCTGATCCATTTACTGCTGACCTATGTAATGGAGAAGGCAGGCAGGAAGCAGCAATCAGCTAAAATAGGAGGTTGACTGCTGCTTCAAGACTTTCATAAGTTGCTGGAAGATACAGCCATAGCAGGGCCAATATTTTAAAAACAAGTGCCTAAAGTTAGGTTCCTCAATCCATATTTAGGCACCTGAAGAAGTGGCCTGCTTTTCCAAGTGCTGAGCACTCATTTGAAACAAATGGGAGCTGCTTGACATGCTGCACTTTCAACATTCAGGCTACTTATTCAAGTGGCTAAAGTTAATCCTTTAAAAAAATCTCTGGCCAAAATGAAAAGCAAACTCAGCTCCTGCTATATCTTTACTCATCTACACTGCCCCTCTCTATCCACTCTTTAGTACATTCCTGACTCTGTGCTTTTATCTGTTCCACATGACAGAAGTGCACTCTTCCAGTTATCCTACACCTACTCCCCTACCTCTCCTCCCCCAAATCCATCTGTTTGGTGAAGCTTTCCAGTCATTATATGTTGTCCTGTACAGCTTGTAGCTCCTGCTAGTAAACCATTAAGAGACAGGAACCCATAGTTTGACTTGCACAGCTCTTATTTTGTATAGCACCATGTACACTTAGACTCTTTTATAATGATTAATAATAGCAGCAAAGTTTACTCATACCACTAGTATGTTGTGTCTGAATTTCTAATTAGAAGTGCCATTATGCAAAAAAAATTATGACAGCTGGAAGAGGATAAAACATGGTAAAGAGTTATTCCAGGTGTCATTTTCTCCCCACTCCTCTCAAATTTTAGATGTTAGCTGTGTGGATACTATTTAAATGGAAGGAACACAAATAATAAAACTGTTTGATTTCAATAGTTTTTGCCCTTCTTACTAGCTTTTTTACTTAGCTAAAATATTTTAAAAAGCCTATAGTAGGCCATAGCAAACTAACCATTTTGTTAAAAGCAGAAGTCTACTGCTGCAGTGTTTTAACCAGTAGAATACAATGTTTCAATGTTACACTAAGCAGTAGTTTAAAGTCCAAATTTGTGACCCACTGGAATAGGCTTTGTCTGATCAAGTTTTCAATTTTCTTTAAAAATAGGGGAAAAAAAACACAGGAGGGTAGGAGAAAACAAGGAAGAAAGAAATGGTTAATACAAGGGACAGCTGCAAGTAATTATACCTCTGCTCCTGCTTTTTTTAAAAGCACTGTAGGATTAAACCTTAGTGAACACTACAGCTAAGGCTGCAAAATAGTGTTTATTCCGATTTAAGACAGATGTCTGAAAAATTTGCATTAGGGAATGCAAGCAAAGAAACTGTAAACTGAACTTTTCTTTTACATTGTGAAAGGAGAGTACCTAATAATATATATAATATATATATATATAGGTAGATTTACGTAATATTTCAGGGAGGATTTAGTAATACACCTCTACCTGATATAACGCTGTCCTCGGGAGCCAAAAAAAATCTTACTGCGTTATAGGTGAAACCGCATTATATCGAACTTGCTTTGATCTGCCGGAGTGCGCAGCCCCGTCCCCCCCCAAAGCGCTGCTTTACCGTGTTATAGTGGAGTAGAGATGTATTAAGGTTTGCATCAGAAATACAAAGCACCATTCATTGTGGCCATTTGTACTCAAAGAGCAAGCAGAGCCATCACTGGAAACTTCAGAATAGTCTTTTACCACTAACCCTGGAGATAAGTCAGATGCTCAAGACAAAAAACTTATCAAAATCAGCAAAGTGTTAATCTTAAAAAATGGAATCCCTCCACTGTAGCATGCCACTCAATCTGTTTTCCCTGCCTGTTGTTTTAAGGCAAGAAGTCTTCCAAAAGAAAAAAACAATAACTTTAAAATAACCTAAATATGAGGAGTTTCCACATGCAGCTCTACTACTCATGAGAAAACATTAGGAATTTAGAAACTTTAGTAGTGTCCTGTAAGTCCATTGGAAAAAAGTTAATTTTCATGGAATGGGGTTTCCTCCCTCCCCTAATAAAAATCTTTTAATGCGCAGAGCTGATGTCCTAATAGATGTATAGGACTCTTTATTGCATAAATTAGAAAAAATATTTACAAGTGACATATGTATAAAAAGTTATTTTTATCCATGTACACAAACATGACATTTATTTAAATAACTGCTCCACAGACGATAGGAACGCCCCTTCAAACTCTTGGTCAGCAAATCTGTTCACAGACTGGCGAGCATTTTGTCTGATTTCCAGCCTCTTTTCAGGAGACAAAGAAAGGATCTGAGCCATGGTCTCAGAATAATCGTCCTCATTTTCGGCTAGAAATCCTGTAATATGTCCTTCATAGGGTACCACAATATCTAGTTTGGGGCCACCAGAATTGTGCGCCAGAATAATTGTGCCAGCTGCCATACATTCAACTATTCCTGGAAAGATACAAAGAACATGTTATTAAGAATACAGTTCTCATACGTACATAGAGCCGGTTGAGCTTTTTCAGTGGAAGTGTTTTTTCAATGAATTTTTTGTCAAAATAGACACTTCAGAACCATTTTTTCCCAAATGTTTCACATTTTTCATTGAAAAACCTACACCAACATTTTCATATTTTTTTTTTGGCAACTAAAAAAATGAAGATTTCAGCTGATTGGATAAAAATAAAAACTTTCTGTGAAACCAAAAGTGCTTGCTCACTCAGCCTTTTTTGGGGGGGATATTGGAAAACCAGTTTTCTATTTGTTTTTCCATCTGAACTCTGAAAAGTGTTCTAGAAAGATGACAATTTTTTTTTAAATGTTGTCATCAAAATTTGGGGGAGGGGAAGGGGGGAAGACCATCTCTACTTATGGATTCAAGAACACTTAAAACTGTAGGGAAAAGACATACAGTGATAGAATTCTAAACTGGTATTAGGTGCTGTTTTATCATTTAATTTCTTAGCATCTGACTGTTGTTTGACATCTGAGTTCAAGTTCAGTCTGACAAGAGTAGCAGGCCTTATAACAAAAGAAAATCTGTTTCAGTTTGTCATTGCTATCCAGAGGCTTTAGCCATATCTTTCAAGTTACAGCCAACTCATACTGTAACATTGGATTTCTAGGTTGAGATTTTTAGTATATTTCACTAGTCTGATTTGTATAATAGACACAATATGACTTGAATAAAAAGCTACATATTGAAAAGAGTAGAGGTGGACGGAATGAAGGTGCACTGAACTAGGCACACTGCTAACCCCAGGGACTAGCAACAGCTGAAGTCAAATAGTTAAAACACCTTCGAATACTAGAAGAGTGCTGGAATTGAATAGTACATAGCATTTGTATTCGACCCCCATAGATTACACAACAACCCTAAAAAGACAGCCATTCTGATTACTGCCTTTCTGCTTCTTTGCTGCAGTTCTGACATTTTAAATGCTGTTAAGCTCAAGAATTGCCAGAGGTAGAAAATAATGCTGTAATTATATCCTAAAGCTTGGAATCCTATTTTCTAAAGATAAAAAACCCTGAAAGGTGAGCTGCTAAATCATCCTGGAATTCAGGGCCATAATCTGAGTGGGGTGTCTACATGCTATTCTGGCAAAAAGTGAAGTCTTTGGGAAGAGGGTGGGTGTGGAAATGAGCAAAATTATAATTGCAGATTTAAAAGTCCAATATCTTGTGACCTGACAGGCCCAGAATTCCTTTGAGGGACCATTACAAAAATTTACTGGTATTGAAGGTAATTCTAAGTACTGAGCCTGGACCAGAACACAGAAGAAAACATTTTTGATCACTGCACAATCATAAGAGAAATCAGCTAACTATGTTACAACTGACACTGTTGCTAATATTTATCCCCTTACCACAGCAAAGTGGGAGCAAGAATGAAAAGTCTCAGCAGTTTTAGTAAAGGGGAAAATCCAATAGGAAGTAGCAGGAAATGGGAAAAAGCCAATAACGGAAGACAACAAACAGATTCTCACAGGTGGAAACAAAGTAGATACACCTCTACCCCAATATAACGCTGTCCTCGGAGCCAAAAAATCTTACCGCGTTATAGGTGAAACCACATTATATTGAACTTGCTTTGATCCGCCGGAGTGCGCAGCCCCCCCCCGGAGCACTGCTTTACCGTGTTATAGCCGAATTCATGTTGTTATATCGGGGTAGAGGTGTATTGTTTAAAAAAAAAAAAAAAGGCTTAGGGGGAGGTGAGAAGCAAGAGTAGGCAAAGAAAGAGAATGAAGACAGTAACAGAAAAACCATCAAGATAGAATTTTCCTCCTATATAGTATCAGCTAGAGACTATGCTTCTGAACTGACTGAACAGGCTTTACTTACATCATGGTCCTGTACAGCGCAAGTCACTTCTGTTGCTACTTTTGTTAACTGTAGTTTAGTAATGGCTGATTACATCAATTTCAGCTTGCTGAAGCCACAGCCAAGTAATCAGTCCATCCATTAGGATGCAAGCTTGTCTCATCCTGCACGCATACCAGAGAGGTACGGTCGGTCTTACCCCATTCCACAAATGGGAAAAGTAAGCAAGTCCCTATTTCTGTACCTCGTTCATGTTCATAAAGCAAGCTCCCCTCCCCCAGCTGAATTCAGAGCCTTAAGGTGCTTAAAGTCAAGGAAAAGTACTCACCAATTCCAAAGTGCTCATTCCACATGGTGTGCAGACCGATAATTGCATCTGCCAGGTACTGCTTTAGCGCCTCAAATGGAATGTTTACTTTGAACTCCACCTTTTTGTCAATGCCTAGCTCTTCACAAAGCTTTTTAAGTCTGTTTACACGCTGCTCATCTTGTTGGTTACGACAGCCTCCAATCAGGATGAGCTTTGGCAAGGACTGCTGCCCCAGAGCTGTCTTTTCCAAGAATTTAGCAAAGGCTCTGATTTGCAAAGGATGGTCCTTCTCGGGCCTAAACTGTCCTAGAGAGACAATGGAATATTCTGTGGTGCTCTTTTCCTCATGTAATGGAATATCCAGGAATGTCTGAACATCACAAGGTGGATACACAACACTTGTGCAAGCGCCAGCTCTCCAGAGGGAAAGGATGTGATTTAGGGTCCATGAAGAATTAACCATAATGACATCACTGCGAGAACCAACCAATCCATATACAAAAGCAAACAAGTAGTAATAGACAAGTTTGAGTTTGCTGAGAAGGGGATTCCTTGTAATGAAGGCTGCATTGTTAAATCTGGCATTCTGACTCCTAACCATAGAAAGCATGTCAGTGCTGATAGTTGGATAATGAACATAACACCCAACACGGCAACCTCCTAAGTACTTAAACAGAGGCAATGTGAAGGCATAACCCATTGAGTCAATGTAAACATCAGGGACACACTTCATAAGAGCTTCCCAACCAAGAAACACAGACCCTAAGCTTTGACCCAGTAAAGTGAAGTGGGGGTAAAGAGAGGCCTCCACAAGGTAACGTTTTTCTAGAAACACAAACTTCACAGGATGAGTTAATTTGATGTTGAATCTTCTGAAAGCACTTTCTACAATCTGTTCTCCAGTGACATCTTTATCGCCAGTATAGACAACATATATTGCATCTTTGTACCTGAAAGAGTACAGTAAAGAAGAATTTCACAAATCTTTTTCTATAAAAATTTGTCACGTGTTATGCAACTGAGACTTATTTCCGTCTCAAAATTACAAACAAACTTTTAGCCTCGGTCTTAAACATGCTGGCCTTAAACAATATTGGGTTTGGTTTAACTGAACCAGATTTTTTATTTTATTTTTTTTAAAACCACATTTCTTTGATCTGCAAAAACGCGGGGTTGTTTTTTGGCTAATTAAAAGAAACCATGTTGTTATTTAGTAGAATTCAACTTGCAGGGCAGGATATTCCCACTCAGAAGATGAAATTTCAAGACTGCAGAACTGGTCCTTCTAGTGCAAACCAAAAGTAAAAAGGAGGAAGAGTGTAGTGTAGACCAATGGATATGTCAAAAGGGTAAAGAGGTTTTAAGATGCAGTGTTTGAATGCCTCAGGCAACTGTTTGGATTAGATGTGGTCTACTTAAATATATGGGCTGCCAAAAACTGCATAGATAATACCATAAAAAGTATCAGGAAAAATCAGACTGCAATATAAACTTGCATTTTGCTAAGCATGTGCACTTACTTTTTCTGCAGTGCTCTTATGGCACACCACAAGACTCTCTCCCCTCCACCACCTGCATTGCAATATGGATGGAAAAATGCAACAACCAATTGATGTTTCCCATCTTTTCCTGTTGAGGCCAACTGATTTTTCCTTTGTTGTAGCCACAGCCGTATTCCCCACAGTAGTACAACCAAACAGAGACATAAAGCTCCACTTAGGAACAATCCAGGGATGAACAATGAGCACAGCAACCTGGAACAAGCAGGGGAAATTAAATTCAAACATCATTTGTAAAAAATAGTATATGGAAGAAAATGATTTAAAACAGTAAATACTATATATATTTCCTAGGCAATTTCTCAGATTATTCTCTCTCAGGGGTAATGGATATCAGCACCTTGTTTTAACAGCTAGCTTATTACTGGTTTGCTTTCAAACCTCTGCTTGAAAGACTGCAATAGACAAGAAGGTTACAACTAAGCTTATGGAGGTGATCTAAAATTATAATAAAGTAAAAATTCCAAAATATAGCTATCTCTGGCATAACTCCTATAGACTACTGCCAACAGACACTGACTGGGCAGGTGGTGAGTTGACAGCTGTTTACTACACGATAGCAATAAAGGAAGCAGGTTATTTCATCCTTCCCTTCCTCCTCACCTGATTGTCTCATCCATCTATTCCAGCTTCTCATAACCACTGTAAACTCTTTGGGGAAGGGACTATTTTTGGGAGGCGGGGGAAGGGAGGGGGAATATACAGTTCCTTGATCTTTGATTGATGATCCTATACATTACAGCAACACAGCAAGTCATTTTCTGTTTTATTAACAGTAAATTAAGCATCCCATAACCCACATGGTAAATCAGTGTAATCCCATTTTGCAGATGGGAAGACTAAGGTACAGAAGTACTAAGACTTCTTTAAAGTCTCACAAATGGGTGGCAAAGCTGAGGACAAAAACCAGGAGTCCATACTCCCTATTTTTTGCTTTAGCCACCTCTGTATGGTTCTTCTGAGCAAGTGGGAGGCACAGAGTCACCAAGATGCCACACCTAGAGTACAGCATATAAGAGACTTGGGGTAAAATTTTCAAAAATGGCTAAGTGACTTGGGAACCTAAGTTCCATTTTGAGAGGTGACCTGGGCACTGAGGAGCACTAGGCCTGGTCTGCAGTACAATGTTAAGTCAGCATAACTACACCACTCAGAGCTGTGAACAATGTCATGCCCTGTGTGATGTAGTTAGACACAGCTGGGGCATTGGAAGAATTCTTCCACTGACCTAGCTGCTGGCTCTCGGAGAGGATTTCCTGCGGCCATGGAAGAACCCCTCCTCTTGCTGTAGTGTCTGCACTTAGGGTTGCCACCTGTCCAGATTTTGGCTTGTGTGTCCAAGTGCAATTTAGGGTTGCTAGGTGCCTGGTTTTTAACTGCAAAGTCCCGTGGAAAAGGGGACCTTGCAGTGTCCGGTCAGATGTACTGACTGGACACCAGAAGTCCAGCTACTGCAGGGCCGGGGTAGGATCCAGGTAATTAATCCACACCAGCCTCTGCTCAGTCAGGGCTTTCTCCTACCTGCAGGCTGCAGCAGCTCCCATCCCCGCCCCGAAGCAGAGGAAGCCCAGCTGGGAGGGGAGGGAGCAAAGCATAGAGGGAGAGGCAGGGCAGGGTCTCGGGAGTCCCGTGACCAGTAATCAGAAAGGGGGCAACCCTATCTGCACAAAGCTGGGCTGCTGCAGTGCCTCCAGTGCAGCCGTAGCCTGCGTCTCACTGACAGTCACCAGGACTCGTGACTCAGGAGCCTTTCCAAGGGCGGCCCGTAGTGCGACAGCTCCTAAGGCAGGAGCAGCCGGGGTGAGCCAAGAGCCCGCCCCCGGGGGAGGGAGCAAGCGGCGCTCGAGGGGAAGAGCAACAATGGCCCTCAGCCAAGGCCACCTCCGTGCCGCGCTCCGGCCCAGCCCGCACAGAACGCAGCCGCGCGACGCCTGCCCGGCGCGGGACGAGCGCTCGGGTGGCGGGTGCCGGCAGACTCAGCGAGCGGGGAGGAAGCCCCGGCCCTGCGGCTGCGGGGTAGACACGGGAGGAAGCGAACCGCTCCCCCTGCGGGCGGGTAATGGCGCCCCAGTCAGCGGGCCAGGAAACGGGAGCGGGGAGGCGGAGGGACTATTTTCTTTCCCTCCTCCAACAAACCCCGGAGCTGAGGCGCCCCTCACCTGACTAGCGAGCACAAACAGAAACCTCCCGCCGCCATCTTGGACAACGCCGCGTAACCTTTCACCCCGGAAGCGATCGCGCCGCTGGAGGCGCGGCCTGACTAGTCCTCTTTCCCCATTGGCTCCCGCTCGTCTAGAAAGAGGGGCGGGGCTGGGACTGGGCGGGGCTAGAACGCTAGCAGGGACTAGAGGGAGGGGCCCGGTCTGTATGGGGGTGGAGCCAGAGAGTGGGTGTCTTGGGGAGGGGCGTGGTCTCCAGTGGGCGGGGCTTGGGGGCCTGCCGGCACAAATCAGACCTCAAGAATTATAACATTCAAAAACCAGCTGGAGAAGCTTCAACCTCCCTGGTCACTCAATTACAGGCCTAAAAGTTGCAATTCTTCAACAAAAAAACTTCAAATATAGACTCCAATGAGAAACTGCAGAACTGGAATTAATTTGCAATCTGGACACCATTAAATTAGACTTGACTAAAGCCTAGGGGTGGATGGGTCATTACACAAAGTAAAAACTATTTCCCCATGCTAATTTTCCCCCTACTCACACCTTCTTGTCAACTGTTTGAAATGGGCCATCCTGATTATCACTACAAAAGTTTTTTTTTCTCCTGCTGATAATAGCCCACCTTAAATGATTAGTCTGGTTAGAGTTGGTATGGCAACATCCATGTTTTCATGTTCTCTGTGCATATATATCTTCCTACTGTATTTTCCACTGCATGCATCCGATGAAGTGGGTTTTAGCCCACGAAAGCTTATGCCCAAATAAATTTGTTAGTCTCTAAGATGCCACAAGTATTCCTCGTTCTTTTTGCTGATACAGACTAACACGGCTACCACTTTGAAACTTCTTGTTGAGTTAGTGACTACTCCTACTAGGCCACACTGCTTTCCCCCTGCCCTTCCCAGGAGGGATGTTTCCCCATGAGGGTGGGTGCAAAGGAGAAGAAATTTGCTGCACGTGGGTTAGGTAAGATAGAGGCATTTGTCTCCTCATCCCCAGCTGCCTGCTCCCAAGGCACTACATGATGGTTAAACCCCCTCTGGGCTGCAAAGGGTAAGTGCAGTGACAGAGAAACATGTCCACTGCAAGTGGTGGAGGGGCACATGCTCTACAAGGGTAGGACTCTGCTAGGAAAAAGGGTGTGGTTTGAATTTGAATTAGTTAATGCATGGGAACTAACACAAGGGAATATCCTGTCTCTTTGTAAAAACCTTTTTGGCAGTGAAAACATAACCAAGGCAAAGGCAGATTGTAGTTTTAACAGAAGTTAGCAGGTTAAGGTAAAGTGGAAAGCCTAGTATTTCTGCTGACTCGTGTTAAGCCAATGTACTGCCTTGCCTTAACTAGGATTTTACCCTTGTTACTACTTATTGGCTAACAAGAACTCACTATTTTTCCTAGTGAAAATAAGGCAAGAGGATGGTGGGTGGTGTACACAGACCATGCTGTGTAACTTCACATTACTTCCTACACCACTGGGTAAGTCATGCAAGGCGTGTTTGCTCAAAATACATGAAAACTAGTGAAAAATTGCTTAGTGGTTAGAGCATAGGCCTGGCAGTTGTACATTCTGGGTTCTACTTCCAGCCTTGTCATTGTTTTGTTGTGTAATGTTAGGCAAATTATATCACTCCTCTGTCTCAGTATAGGGATACTAATGCTTACCTAGATCTCTGGGGGGTTGTGGGGCTAAATTCATTAATGTTCCTGAAGTGCTTTGATAGGCTCATCTTTAAGGCACTCTACAAGTGCAACGTATTATCACTTTTTTAGAAAAAGAAGGGCTGTGTTTGTAATGGATAATCATTTTCCTGCATGGACGATCTTAAAAAGATAAAAAGCAACAGAGGGTCCTGTGGCACCTTTGAGACTAACAGAAGTATTGGGAGCATAAGCTTTCGTGGGTAAGAACCTCACTTCTTCAGATGCAAGTAATGGAAATCTCTAGAGGCAGGTATAAATCAGTGTGGAGATAACGAGGTTAGTTCAATCAGGGAGGGTGAGGTGCTCTGCTAGCAGTTGAGGTGTGAACACCAAGGGAGGAGAAACTGCTTCTGTAGTTGGATAGCCATTCACAGTCTTTGTTTAATCCTGATCTGATGGTGTCAAATTTGCAAATGAACTGGAGCTCAGCAGTTTCACTTTGGAGTCTGGTCCTGAAGTTTTTTTGCTGTAAGATGGCTACCTTTACATCTGCTATTGTGTGGCCAGGGAGGTTGAAGTGTTCTCCTACAGGTTTTTGTATATTGCCATTCCTGATATCTGACTTGTGTCCATTTATCCTCTTGCGTAGTGACTGTCCAGTTTGGCCAATGTACATAGCAGAGGGGCATTGCTGGCACATGATGTAACCAAGCCACCCCTTAATCTTTTCTTTAAGATACATAGATTGATCTCCTTAAGTGTATAAGGCATATTGTCTAATTCTCTAATTGTTCTCATGGCTCTTTTTTGAGCCCTCTTCAATTTATTAACATCCTTCTTGAATTGTGGGTACCAGAACGGAATCCAGTATTCCAGCAATAGTTGTAACAGTGCCAAATACAGAGGTAAAATAATCTTTCTACTCCTACTTGAGATTCCTCTGCTTATGCATCCAAGGATCGCATTACCCCTTTTGACCACAGTGACACACTGGGAGTTCATGTTGAGCTGATTATTCTGGGAAGCCGGGACTGTGAAAAAGATTTGGGGGTAGCAGAGGATAGCGTCCCCTATCCTGTCAGTATGGCCTATGCTCTTTGTTCCTACATGTACACATTTAGCCATATTAAAACGTATATTGTTTGCTTTTACCCAATTTACCAAGTAAACCAGATTATTTTGAATCAGTGATCTGCCCTCTTCATTAATCCCCTCTCCCCCAATTTCAATGTTGTCTGCAAACTTTATTAGTGATGACACAATATTTTATCAATGACCTGGAATAAGAGTTAAATAGCATCTGGCCAAGAACAGATCACTGAGAAACCCCACTGGAATTGCACCTACTTGATGTTGATTCCTATTTACAATTACATTTTGAGACCTGTCAGTGATCTTGTTTTTAATCCATTTAATATGTGCCATGTTAACTGTATATACACCTCTACCCCAACATAACGCTGTCCTCGGGAGCCAAAAAATCTTACCGCGTTATAGGTGAAACTGCGTTATATCTAACTTGCTTTGATCCGCCGGAGTGGGCAGTCCTGCCCCCCCGGAGCGCTGCTTTACCGCGTTATTTCCGAATTCGTGTTATATCGGGTCGCGTTATAGCGAGGTAGAGGTGTATATACAGTTAACATGGCACATATTAAATGGATTAAAAACAAGATCACTGACAGGTCTCAAAATGTAATTGTAAATAGGAATCAACATCAAGTAGGTGCAATTCCAGTGGGGTTTCTCAGTGATCTGTTCTTGGCCAGATGCTATTTAACTCTTATTCCAGGTCATTGATAAAATATTGTGTCATCACTAATAAAGTTTGCAGACAACATTGAAATTGGGGGAGAGGGGATTAATGAAGAGGGCAGATCACTGATTCAAAATAATCTGGTTTACTTGGTAAATTGGGTAAAAGCAAACAATATACGTTTTAATATGGCTAAATGTGTACATGTAGGAACAAAGAGCATAGGCCATACTGACAGGATAGGGGACGCTATCCTCTGCTACCCCCAAATCTTTTTCACAGTCCCGGCTTCCCAGAATAATCAGCTCAACATGAACTCCCAGTGTGTCACTGTGGTCAAAAGGGGTAATGCGATCCTTGGATGCATAAGCAGAGGAATCTCAAGTAGGAGTAGAAAGATTATTTTACCTCTGTATTTGGCACTGTTACAACTATTGCTGGAATACTGGATTCCGTTCTGGTACCCACAATTCAAGAAGGATGTTAATAAATTGAAGAGGGCTCAAAAAAGAGCCATGAGAACAATTAGAGAATTAGACAATATGCCTTATACACTTAAGGAGATCAATCTATGTATCTTAAAGAAAAGATTAAGGGGTGGCTTGGTTACATCATGTGCCAGCAATGCCCCTCTGCTATGTACATTGGCCAAACTGGACAGTCACTACGCAAGAGGATAAATGGACACAAGTCAGATATCAGGAATGGCAATATACAAAAACCTGTAGGAGAACACTTCAACCTCCCTGGCCACACAATAGCAGATGTAAAGGTAGCCATCTTACAGCAAAAAAACTTCAGGACCAGACTCCAAAGAGAAACTGCTGAGCTCCAGTTCATTTGCAAATTTGACACCATCAGATCAGGATTAAACAAAGACTGTGAATGGCTATCCAACTACAGAAGCAGTTTCTCCTCCCTTGGTGTTCACACCGCAACTGCTAGCAGAGCACCTCACCCTCCCTGATTGAACTAACCTCGTTATCTCCACACTGATTTATACCTGCCTCTAGAGATTTCCATTACTTGCATCTGAAGAAGTGAGGTTCTTACCCACGAAAGCTTATGCTCCCAATACTTCTGTTAGTCTCAAAGGTGCCACAGGACCCTCTGTTGCTTTTTACAGATTCAGACTAACACGGCTACCCCTCTGATACTTAAAAAGATATTGTCAGGTCAAATTTGGCCCAATATTAAAAGCTTTTATAATACTTAAAACCAATAAACATCGTTACATGATTTTAAAAGAAAAATCTAATGGAAAGTTTTCTTTAAAACACAAGAATTTCCTTTGTAGGGTCCACAACTTAAAAATTGCATATTCTGCAGGACAGCCTGAAAATATTTTCTAGACCTAGAAGTGAAGTTAGGCTATTTTCATTAAAAGGAATGCAAAAAAGTAGGCGATCATAAATGCTGACGGGCATATTATATTTTTGAAATTGGTAAAATGCTTAACATCGTTTAACATAACAGCATCCCCTTAAATTCATGGAAATAAGGATTTTAAAAAACGTAATGACAAAATTTTGACGTGAGTCCTTTAAAAACTACCCGTAAAGAAGAAATTATGCTAGAGCTAATCCCATTATCTCCAAAGAGGCACAGTACCCTGTTTTGGCCCTGATCCTGCATTGGTATTTGCTAGCACAGACTCT